TGTGTGTGTGTGTGTGTGCGTGCGTGCGTGTAAGAGAGAAAGAGCTGACCGTGCACCAACACTCAACAATAAATACGAGAACAGCATTGGTGGGAAGGGGTTGACAAGCGACATAATCCAGGAATATTTCAGGAAAGAATAGGAATCTATAAAATTGTGTCCCTTTAATATAATGCTGCCGACTCCGAACCAACTTTATTTTGATGTGTGAAAGCCGCTTTGGCGACTGGCTGTCGGACAATGCCTAATAAAGAAGTATAGGCAATAGGTAGGACACCGCTGAATAGCATTTCAAAGGCGGCCCTACGTCAGTAGGACATTGTAATCCGCTTGTCCGCCTTGCTGACCCGGTGCCGCAGAGTCAGCCGAGGAAGTCATGCTGTCTGGGTTTGCGCTGCCTGTGGGTGAAAAGCAGTGCGGACCTGTTACAATGACATGTCCTGTAGGCTTCTCCTCTCTGAAGCCTGCTTGTGAGTAAGCATACTGCTGTTTATCAATACAGCAACATCGCAGACGCCCAGAAAGTACACAACCAGAGATTTCTGCGAGAGCACAGGTTGGTAAATACGACACAAACTTTAAAAGATCGATGTGCAGAATCATCGACTTTTATCTAATGCCTCCATTAATTTATGTGTCTTCCCAGCGAACTTGACCAACCAATATTATGCCTATAATAAGGCATTAACTTCTCCATGGACTAACGGGGTTGTTATTGTGAAAGAAGGTGACATCATGAAATAAGTTTACAAAAGATCTAGAATTGTGCCAATTTTTCAGCTTATCTTACTAATTACCTAAGAGCAAATGACCTATTCTTAATTTATTCTTCTTTCAAAAAGGAGGAAGGTCGGGGGAGGGCGAAAAGGGTGGGGGCAGCGTTGCTATCGTCATCCATTTATTTTATAAATTGATGCTAATACTAACTGTCTCCTGTTCTCTATGGCCAACTGTTTTGTTCCTACCAGTTTAACCCTCCTGTACGCTCTTTGTTTATCCTCACAATTATTGCAATTTAGTTTTTGTTTTCCGTTTTTATGTTAACCGTTTCGGGAGCGTTAGAATTTTTATTGATTCGTTTTCAGTGCAGGGTGTGTTGACTCAAAGTTTTATAGAACCTCCGAAGAAAAAAAAAGAGCAAGGGGAGAGCACTCCAACTTTGTTTTGAAAAGAGCAAAAATCAGCGGTGTATGCTCCGTTCTTGGTAAAGCGGTGCCTTGACTTTTTCCTGACATTTTACTCCAATTATTGGTTCAATTGGCTGAATTGTATTTAGGTATGCTTGTTTGTACTGTGTTTATATCCTAGGTTCTCTGCAAAGGTATTATTTTACTCATGGACCCGTCTCATACTCAGATCTGAAGTGACTGGTGAAGCACTTTTCTTGTTCATTTTTTTCATTTTATTTTGAATTGAAATCTGCTTTTTTTTGCCTACGACACGACCCTACGACTGTAGACATGAGGCGGATAGCAAGAGAATGGCAAGTAAACGCCATTGCCTGATATTCATAGTAACAGCCATCTTGTTTGGTGTCATTGAGGGATTCCTACTTTGTCTGTCATGGTGGCAACACGACCGCACTACAGACTACGGCAGCCTGCTGACTCAGAATAGGCTATATGTTCTTTGCAATTTGCAGAACTGTTCGCCTGTTCGGTTTGATTGTCTATTGGCCGTCGTGGCTGGCTTGAACTTTGGTGGACCCACCGTGTTTATATTATTAATACGCACTAGGCAAACAACGGACTGTACAGTCATGGGTCCTAATCGACCGC